ATAATATAGAAAAGTTACATGTGTAGCCAATTGTACACTCTTCTGTAGTGGTTCATTGAACCACAATACTGATAAGTAATTAATAAAAGTCAAAAAACCAAAGAGGTCATCTTAATACCAAAAAAAAATATATATATACTTGCAATATATGTAATTACAAATAATATTTATAAAAAGCTTTCTAAAAATAACAAAGCCTTTTGAAAAATAATAATTTGTTATTACATAATCTAAATAATACAATTTATATAAGTTAATATTGTTAGATAAATTATTTTTTAAAGGATACTGATAGCATGCTTAATATATTTTCATAAAAATATTAAGAAGCATAACAGAACATTTTGAAAAAGCAAGTTTAACTGCTTTAATATATACAGATATTTTGTGGATTTTACAAAATATTATCAAAAAGCATTGTTTTTCCATTGTTGAAAATATAATATGCCTTTTTCTGCAATTGTTAAGCTGTAAAATATGCAGTTGTTTGTCAATAAATAATGCTATAAATAATCTTTACAAAATGATTGCTTAAAGTAGTAAGATAATTAATAAAAAATTAAATATTGAATAATTTGTTTCTATTTAGTAGAAAATATCAAAAAAGAATATTAAAGATGCATGCTTGTAATTTTTTCTATCAAATCTAAGAAAGAAATTACTTTAGCAACACATACAAGCTTCTTTATAAGCTAGCCAATTGTCTTTCTAATTATGCATTATATATACATTGAGACTAAGAGAATTATCATGCTTTTTAAATTACTGTGATCATCAAATTTTATGCATCACACACATGTGGGAATCTGTGAATCTGAGAATATAAAAATAAAAAAAAATATTTTTAAATTATTATGTCTTTTTTGAAGTATAAAATAATAATAATATATTATAACAATTAACAAAAGCATTGTATTTTTCACTATCTATGTTTTTTGAAACTTTAACTGAATAATACCAGAAATTTTGTTTTTTTGGATTTATTTTATTTATTTATTTGATTTTTATTAACTATAAAAGTTATATTATAATGTTCGATTTAGGTATTGGAACCATTTAACCATTGAAAAATTGCTCAATAGTTCTGGGCAGAATTATGTTGGTTATGGGCCAGAATTATTTTAAAGCCAGCCAAATTAGATGACTAAACAGTTAACTGATTAAGAAAATTTTTAGACAGTTCCAATCCCTAGTTCGATTACAATAAATTTATAATAAATTGGTTGAATTATCAAGTTTTCAAATAACTGGATATTAATTATTTATTTATGTATTTTTACAAATTGGCATTTAAAAATTCTAAAAATATCATTAGCATATAGTAATTTTTTACATTAGTATAACACATATTTGTATGTTAACTTGTTAATTAGACAAAATAAAAATTTTTAGTTTTATTTACTTAAATTTTACAAACCTTAATCAATGTACAATGCTTCGCTAATACCCTATTTATTTTAAATATTTGAAGCTGTTTCTAAATTCTTCAGGTTGGTAAATTTAAAAATGATTCTAAATATTAAAACTGGTCAGGCTAATATAATATTAAAAAACTTTCGCTCAAAGTTTGATTACTGTGTTCTGACATCATATATATATAGAAATCTGAGAATCTGAGAATGTAAAATCAATTATAAATATAAAAAAATTTTAAAAATAATTTGAATTTCTTTTTCTCAAATAAATCAATTTCTTATGACTGACACAAAAAATACTAAACTTAAATACCTTCGTAATACCTATTTTGGATGCTGAAAATGCCTGTACTGTGCAGCAGATTTGAGCTATGAAACTTGTAGTTGCAAAATTTTTTTGGTGCCAACCAAAAAAAATAGAACCAGCTTTGTTAAACAAGCATATACACGTTCTTATAAATCTATATGGGCTGCACCAAAATTTGAATATATTTATAAAAACGTTTTAGAGCATAATTATAATGTAAATTTAAAAAAACCTTTTAAGTTTTCTCTTTGTAGAAAATGTTATAATATTTTAATCAAATTGAACCCTACAAATGAAGCAACAAATATAACAAAATTAAAAAAAAATAATGTAATTTTATTATTATTATTATTACGATTACTATTATTATTATATATACTTATTAATATTTATAGAAAATAAACAGATCAGCATCTCCTTTAGTATCTGTTGCAACAAGTGAAGAGAAAAGTGAAGATGAATAGGATGAACCAAGTAGTAATGAAGAATCTGATTTTGTACTAGATTATAAGTTGTTTGTAAAATTATCTGATGGAACTTCACTATCTGCAAAGTGGTTTGAAGAATCAGTATCATCTATAGATGAATTTCTTTTGTCTATTCATGATAAAGTTATTTTATTAACAAATAATACAAAAATTATGCCAAATAATTATCGTGTAACTTTTAAAACACAAAGAGAAGCAGGTGTCAGAACTCAATTAGCTGATACACAAGATTTTCTTAAGTTTAAGGCTGAATATATAAAATTAAGTGCAAGGAAATGTGATATTGGAATTTATATTATATTTACACAATCATCTCAAAATAAACGCAAAAAAAAAATAAATAATAATATATAAATATATTACATAAATATGTATCAGTATTAAAAATTCAGTACAAATATGCAATGCAAAAAATACTAATATGCATGCAATACTATCTATAAACTATTTTTAAATTTATATATTAAGCACTTTTACTTTTAAATAATTATATTAACTATGTATAACAATAAATTTTTGTAGGAATTAGATTCAGATGAAAATGAAGATGTTGAAAAACTAAGCAACCATAAAAAAAATCGAATTCCTAATGTTTTATCTTTATCTTCATATGACAAGACTATTGCTGAAAATGTATTAGAAATTCGAAATGCATATCATTGTAATATTCATAATTGACCTTGTCTAAATAAGGAAAATTATAAGGATTTGCATGTCAAAATTACCTTTATGATGCTATCAATATAGGCTGCAGATATAGTACATATACAAATAATAAAAATAATATTTAAGAATTTATTTTACATATATTTAAGATATAAATTTATAATATATATTTACATTTTTAGAATAAAGAATTGGCTACAATTGAAACTCTTCTGACACATCCTCTCTTTTCTCATACTAATATATCTAAAAAGATACGTTCTTCAGGATTGCCAGTAATTACATCACTACAACCACCAATAACTCTAATTTTATTGTCTCTACTGTCACCACAAATCCAACCACAGCTACAAGTAATTTTATTACCAGTGTCAAAACAAATTCATACATTAGCAACTTTTCTACAATTACTATCACTACTATTACAACAACAAATACAAACATCATTAGTTTCACCACAAATACTACTACCACTATCACTATTACAATCATAAATACAAACACCTTTTGCTTTATCACAACAACCATTGCTACCACTATCATAACAATTACAGCATAATGGCAATTGGATCTTTGGTTCTCAATTGTTTCAAACACCACTGTTTTCAATTCTATATAATTCTTATCAAACATTACCTTATATTTCTTTACGACCTTCAGCTACCTAATCTAATCTGTATATCTTTTTTGTCTTACCTTCTATGGCAGAATTTTTAAAAGATGTAGATGAAAAGGAAGAAACTGATCATTATTATCAAGACTTTTTAGAAAATTTTGAAAGACAAAAAATTCTAGTAAAGCATTTACAAAGATTAACAGATAAAGAATTTGAGCAATGTAAAGTTGACACCATTGGTGCTCGACAAACATTACGTGAATATGCAGCAAAATATCAAACATCGAATTAAAAGAAGTTAATAGAATTTGATCTTGCTTATAAATAAAACAGATGCATATAAAAAATTCTTATAATGTTAAAAGATTTGAGAACAAATAATGTTGCTAGAATATTCAATGAAAACATGCTCTTATTATTTTAATTAAAAGTTACTACTTTTATTGTATTGATAATGAACAGATAAAGCTTACTTAATATATAATAAAGAATTACTATATAATTGCTATATAGTATGTACTACTTAAATTTGAAATATATATATTTAGTATTATATGTATATATGTATATAAATTGTCTATTGTTAAATTATGTTCATTTTTCTACATAAATGTTTAGTGTTCACTTTTTTATTTTCTATCTATTTTGTATGCATTTTATCAATATAATCTGTGTTAGTTAATTGATGCAATCAAACACTAGTTACTAAACTATAGGTTTTATTTGTATTCAGAATCTTCAAAATATTTTTTGCTATATTTGATGTAATTTGTGCACATGCAACCAATAATAGATATTTTGGATCATATGAATTTTCAACAAAGTAATGATATCATTGTAAATATTTTTTGATCCAAGAAAATATTGTCTCAATTGGATTGAGATCAGGTGAATAAAGAGGAAGAAACTCAATTCATATACCAAAAGCATGTAAGTATTCACACAGTTCATCATTATGATGAATTCATATATTATCTAACACCAAAATACTATTAAGATGAGGATATGGATTCATTTGAGATAACTACAAATAGATAAAATATTAGTAGCTTAGTAGCAATATAAGTTTAGAACCAATTTACATAATATATACAACTTGATTTATAATGAATTCCTTAAATCTAAGCTTCGTAAAACTATTCTTAACAATATCAACAGCAATTATTCCCTGCAAAGTTAGAGCAGGGCAAATTGAATATCTTATTCCATGTATAAATACAACTTTTTTTTTTGCTAAAGTATTTATTTGGGAATATCCATAGCCTCATAATATGGACCGCTCATCTTTAGATGATTTATCTATAAACACAAATTGATTTGATCGATATTGTGCACCAATACGTGCTATAAAAGTACTTCGAACAATCTCATTACGTTCTTTTGCTTCTTTATGAAGCTAATCAAAATTCTTGTATTAGATAAATACTTCATAAAAGTCAAAATTTATATGTTTTATAATAACTAGAACTAAAAAAACAACATAATTATATCAAGAGTGACTAACTTATACATGTGGCCAAAATTATTCAAAAATAATTATAACTTAAACAATAAAAGAACTAACTCTTATCAGCTAAATATAACTCTCAGAGTCTGTTATTTAACATAATTGTTTGACAATTACAAGTTCTAAAATAATTAATTGTTCGACAGTTACAAAATCTAAAGTAATCAA